TGGTGACACAAATTAAGAGCAATGTCGCTACATATCTGTATCTCAGTCACTCCTTTCTAAAACATGCTGAGAAGACACATATAATCGTAGGTGCCACTGTCTTTGATTACCCGCAACTCTTGGAATGGTGGTATAATGCAGCTTCTAAATCTTTCCTTCATTTTTTTTTTTTTTGTTTTTCTGAGACCGAGTCTCACTCTGTTTGGCCCTGCTAGATGCTGAGCTGCCATGGGTGTCAGCCTAGGCTTTCAAGCCAACCACAGGCAGACCTCAAACTTCCTGGGCAAACGGATGCAGACTGTGTCCTCAAAAAAAAAAAAAAAAAAAAAATGAAGGCAAGATTTAGAAGCTGCATTATACGCTCATTCCAAAGAGTGTTGCTGCGAGTATAAAACAGTGAGGCGACAATGGTATATGTGTCGTGTCAGACATGTTTGAAAGCTGGACCTGCATTAGAGATAATGTAGCGCGCATTGCCTCCTTAAATTGTGTGCATCCATGCTTTTCCTTTTGTTTAATCCCAGTCAACATCATCAAAACTACTTATTTGTTTGTTTTCCTTTTTTTTCCTATATCCTGAGTCTTTCAAAGCACATCAAAAACCATGTTCAGTGCCTCATTTTTTCCCTTGAACCCAAGGCCCCTAACTATACCCCTCTGCACAATCTGATGACATTATGTAGAAACGGTTAAATTCCTTCACAGAGAGGCTGATGTTGGTGCGCAACTACAACTGCAGTTTTCACATTGTAGAAGATTTTATGTACAATTGTTTATGTCTCCCTTAGTCTTTCCCACAGAGCAAAAACCAATTAAAGCCTTCTTTTTTTTCGGTGTCGCAGGAATCTCATTTGACAAAGAATTTATATAGGATGACAGGCAAAAAGAGCAAGGGAGAGTTACAGTGCCTCAAGCCTGTAGTCCCAGGTAGCCACTCAGAAGGCTGGAGAATCACTTGAGGCCACAGTTGAGTCTAGCCTGGGAAACATAAGCAGACCCTGTCTCTCTCTCTCTCTCTCTCTCTCTTTTTTTTTAAAGAGCAAACATTTCTTAGAGTACTGTATAATTTACAGAGCATTTTTCATGTATTATCTCATTTGATCATCACTTTAACCCAGGAAAGAAGAAATCATTGTTATGAAGAAATTGAATCTGTGCAATATTGCAAAGTCCATCTACAACTGAATTGCAAAGCTAAGATCCTTTTATCAACACTTTGATCACCAGGTCCTGAGTCTCCTCAGCTTGAACATCATTTCCTAGGAAGTATTCTAGTGAGTATAATTTCAAATCCTTATTGGTTCTCACCAAATGTTTGGTCCTCACCAAATGTTTTTTTTAAAAACAAGTGCTAACTGTATGGTTCATGATAATATATTTGTCCCCCTTTTTTCATCTAGTTTCTTAACTTCCAGAAAATTCTTGACATCTGGAATTTTTCAAATGCACTGGAAGGCAGCATAGTTTCTCGCAGTAGCCATAATGTTAACACGGTTGTGACTATGAATGTTGATAATATAATAGACACCAGTAGGGAAAAACGGTGTAAGATTGGATAATTATATATTTTAATTTTTGAAAATTTTTATTTTTTTAAGATCCAGGAACAGAGTTGAATTAAATACAGTGCTAACTTTAGATGCTGACGTCGTACCTAAGTAGATCTTACTAAAACGATCCAAGCAAGCCACTTAAAACGTGGCCACCCACTATGGCACAGGTCTGGGTGATTGGGCTGAAAGAGCAGGCCTTTCACTTCTTTGTTTTATGCCTCTTTCATATTGTTTGGCGTTTTAATTTTGTTTAGAGACAGGGTCTTTACGATATGTTATTCAGAGTGCGAGCTGGCTATTCCAGGGGGCCGACCACAGCAAACTGATAATTCCAATCTAGCGCTCAGGGCAATCCCTGCTTGCCCAAGAGCCGTGGATTATAGGCCGTATGCATCACTGTGACCACGTGCATGTTACTTTGTATTGAATTAATTTTAATAAACGATGAAAAATATTGCTCCCTCATGACAAGAATACTAGGTAGAACAAGCGATAATGCATTGGTTGGAAGTGCAAAGGGTAAATGGCCCCCCTTCTTCGTTACTTCTCGTTTTTTTTTTTTTTGAGGACAGAGTCTCACTTTGTTGCCCAGGCTATTAGTGAGTGCCGTGGCCGGTCAGGCCTGGCTTCACGCCAACCTCAAACTCCTTAGGCGTCAAGCGATCCTTCCTGGCCTCAGCCTCCCGAAGGTAGGGCTGGTACTACAGGCATGCGGGCCACCATGCCGGCTAGATTTTTTGTACTATATACTTTTTAGATTGATCAATTAATTTTTCTTATTTTTGGTTAGAGACGGGGCAGTCCTCGCTCAGGCTGCGTTTCAGAACTCCTTGACCTTGAGCAATCCGCCCGCCTCGGCCCTCCCAAAGTGCTAGGATTACAGGGCGTGAGCACCATCCCAGCGTTGTTTATTTGGCTTGCCGCAGCTAGAGTGAGTGCCGATGTGGTCAGGCCTAGGCTCAGCAGCCAACCTCAAGACTCCTGGGTAAAGCCTATCCTGTTGCTCCTCAGTCTCCCAAGTTAGCTGGACCACAGGCCATGGCTGCTAACTATATGTATATAGATAAAAACATTTAAGCTGGCGCATGGCTGGCCGCATGCCTGTAATTCCCAGCTACTCGGGGAGGCCTGAGGCAGAGGCATTGCTTGAGCCAGCGGATTGGAGGTTGCTTGTAGAGCCGCTAGGGGGCTGTATGCCATGGCACTCACTCGTATTCCTGGAGCAACAAAGCGAGACTCTCGTTCTCAAAAAAAAATTTAAAAATGAGGGGATATTAAATAATTTTCGTATCTAGATGCCTTTAACACAATGCCTATGAGATAAAATCTTCCAGTCTTTCGATTTATAAGAAATGGAGGAGCTGAAGCTTAAGAACTCGTTAACTGGGGCAAAGCCTGCAGAAAGGCAGACTCCAAATTCCATAGAGTGAGAGGATGTCATTCCAGCGAAAACAAAAAGGACTGTCCCTGGGGGCTCTGAAAACACCACGTGGGGTATTTCTGTGCCGGATGCTACCTGGCAGCTCTGG